ACACAAAAACCACCTCAATATTTCAAAACGCTCCTCGTAGAGTTTGCTATAGCATTCTGAGACATTGAAGTGAAAAAATCACATTTTTTGCTGGTTGCGTCGTTGCATTACTTCGAATCATTTAATAACACCCCTCGCACACCCCTTACTCCGCAAACATTTCGTGTAGTTTGAGTCCCAACTTAGCTTAAAACCTTTCAAAAGTGCCTGTTTGTAAAACTTGGCTTTTCCGCAGTCAAAGGCAGTGAATCGGCAAAATGGACCTTAACCAGATTTTGGCAGCGTTATGTAGTAGACCGCCCGCCTCAAATACCGTAGCCTCGCCCCCACCTTCCAATTCATGTGTGAGTACTGAAAATGCGCTTTAAAACTCCACGAATGACGCCCACTCAATGTAAATGGGCGGAGCTGATGGAGTTTTGAAGCGCGGCTCAGCGCTTGAACTGGAGGGTATTTGTGGGGCTAGCATGTACTTGGGGGTCTACTACCTGACGCTATCACAATCTGACTAGGGTCCGTTTTGTCGATCTACTGCCTTCAAGGACTAGCGTCCAGAAAGCATGGGATCTTAGCGATTCCGTATACTTCTTATTCTGAACATTATGAAATCTGAGTTTTCAGCGGACCGACTGTACGGACACTTGCTCTCGTGCTTGTATCCCATCTTGTGCACAAAGGACGGGAAATCAAGTCGAGTGCACCCGAAAGTGCGGCGGAACATGCGACGTTTCCTGTGTGATGGCTGCCAATCACACCTTGCAAGTACAACAACTGCAACAAATGCAAGCGCAGATTTTGCAACAATCTCCTCAGCAACAAATGCAAATGCAGCAACCTAAGGTGGTAGGAGTTGCCCTTTTTTATATATTTTTTCCATAATTTGCATAAATGCGTGAGGTTCAGGTGACTGCGCAGGAGCAATGCGAGCAGAATTGCCAGCAAGTTTGCGTAAGCGCTTGCACTGCAAGAGCATCAGCACCGTCGGTTTGCGAGAGCACATGTGGCAATGCCTGTAAATTTGGATGTCAAGACGTGGCCACTCCAGCTCTCATACCCATCAAACTCGACATAAAGGATAGCTTCTACAGCGTTAACTGTGAGCCAAAATGCGGCCAAACCTGCCACGCCCAGTGCGTGTCACAGGGAAATCCGGCTGTGACTTGTTCTTCATCATGTGGACAGCAATGCGGTCTTGCTTGCGCAGGACGCACACAACAGGTAGACAATACGATAACCATTCCACCAGCACTTGCACCAGCACTCGAACCAAATCCATGTGTACGACGATGCACGGATCAATGTCGGCTACATTGTCATCCGGGACTGGAACCAATGTGCTCTACTTCTTGCGATACCGTCTGTCGCTTACGTTGCGCTAACCTCGACCCTCAAACGCATGCGGTAGGTGGGCTTTCCGCACAACAGACACAACCGCAGTGTATTGCACCATGTATGCCGGCTTGTCTCCCCAATTGCATCAACTCACAGCCTACTGCACCAACTGCCGCCACCCCGTCACCACAAGCAACCGTGGCTGTTCCGCTAAATACGGCGCCAAACCCGACTTGCATCAGAATCTGTATGCCTACATGTACAAAGGATTGCATTCAAGCAGCTGCAAACGATTCCACGCTTGTACCTCCCACCTCCACACCTTTGCTAATTAACGTTAACCTTATCTTGTGTCCCTTAGCTTGTCAACCCTCATGTGATTTAGACTGTATTCAGACAAACTCCATAGCTCAACAAGTGCCTGCTACAACTGCTTCATCTCCTGTTCAACAATGTATCCCAGCTTGTCTTCCTCAATGTCTACAATCATGTATAGAAGCACAAATACCGACAATGCAACAGCCAAGTTTACTCCCACCTGCTAAGCCTCCACAAGTACCAATACAACCTTCAGCTTCATCTCTTCCCATGCCAAAAGTTCTCTCGCTTCAGTGTCCTCCTTCCTGTCAACCTACCTGTGAACTGAGCTGTATCCGAGCACAGCAACCCGGGCCGTCGCCACCTGCCCCAGTTCAACAACAATGCATACAGGCTTGTATGCCGGCTTGTCAGCCTAGTTGCACGCTGCAAATCCAAGTCCCACAAGCTCCAACCCCAGCTCCAACTCCAGTTCAGGTGATTGCTGCTCCGACGCCAACAGCTCCGCAACAGCAAGCCCAATGTATCTCAATATGTCTACCTGCTTGTGATCCCCAATGTATACAGGCACAATCCTATGTTCAGTCATCACAACCCACTCCAGCCCCTGCGGCGCCACCATCCACCCCACTTGTGTGTATGCCAGCCTGCCGACCAGCCTGTGAACCCTCGTGCATACAGGGTGTGCTTAAGTTAATTGAAACCTCTATCCCAGCCGATAAACAGTGCACCCTTATCTGTATGCCTTTGTGCGCTCAAGAGTGCATTCAGGCAAATACCGCCCCAGCCACAGCGGCAGCACCTCAACCCTCTCAAATCAGTCCAGGTTTTCTGCCAACTGCTGCACCATCACAACCAATTCCATCCTCCGCACCATCTTCGCAACCCCAATGCATATCAATGTGTCTACCCGCCTGTGAACCCTCGTGTATTGCACAGCAGAGTCAGCAAAGTGCTGTACAGGTAAGCGTGCTCATCTACCTATCCTTGTGCACAACCCAACAACACACAATTCTTTTGTATTTCAAGTTTCAAGAAAAGTAGTCTCATTCTTTATGTTAGGTTGTCTCATAAGTCTTTTTATTCTTGACTTTTCGCTGTAATAAGTCATACACTTCTCATTTCAAAAAGACATTTGGATACCATCCGATGGAGCAAAGCTGCACCAGTTTTTATCCATCTTAAGTTTGAAACCGAAATCTAAAAGTTTTGAATGCCAAGAAATTGAAATTTTCTTGTATCTTCGTTCAAAAAAGTCCTACAGATTTCTCACTCGCTCACGCATATACACTCCACATCGGACACTCATATGTGCTGTTGCTGCATTTTTTTACTAGCTAGAAAGCAAAAAAACGAAAATCTCCATGTTTTTACCAAAGTAATGCTATGCTGTTCTTACACAAACAGTTATATACTACAAGTCCTCATAAGTACAACCGTGGATTTTTAGCTCTCCACAAGCTTTGGTTTTCGACAAAGATTGAGTTAAGCTTAAAAAACCCGATTGAGGAAAACTAAATTCTATATTTTTCGGGAACTAGAACTTACAAAGATCTAAAAATTTACGATTTTATTTTTAAGGACTTGTAGTATACAGCTGCTAGTGTAAGAACAACACAGCATCACTTCGGTAAAAACATGGAAATTTTTGTTTTCTTGGTCTCTAGCTAATAAAAAATGCAACAACAACACATATGAGTGTCCGATGTGGAGTGTATATGCGTGAGCGAGTGAAAGATCTGTAGGACTTTTTTGAACGATATAAAAATCTTCAATTTTCTAAGTATCAGAAACTTTTAGGTTTTGGTCTCAAACTTAAGATGGATTGAAGCTGGTGCAAAATCGTAAACGCCATCTTCCTTTTAGAGCTTGCTTTGCTCCATCGAATGATGCCCGGAATTTTATTTGATATAAGGCGTGTATGACTTGTTGTAGCAAAAAACTCAAAAATGAAAAGATTTACGGGACATTCTAATAGATTGTATTTTGAACGTCATCATATATCTGAAATAAATCAGATGCTCAGAAGGAGGAGGTGATTCCATAGATGCCTGTTATAGCATATTAAACAAAAGCTGAAAGCTTTCAAGAGTTAGCGTGATTATCTTCACGTGGTAGGAAGATGCAACAATTAGGCTCCATTAATATTAGGGTGATCCAAAAGTAATGGGGCAGCTAGAGAATAAATGCAGTTTTCTTAAATAGAAAAGCTAATTGGAAGTCCAAGTTTTGGTAGATGTTAGTACATAACAAAACCTTCTGATCGAGGTTCATAGTTGGGCACTGTCACATGGCGTTAATATTTTATAAGCGCTTAAAATCAGAGCTCACCACTTCAAGTAATTTTGAACTTTGAGCAGCAGCGCCGCAGTAAAACAAGTGAGCCTACCAAAGATATCGCAGCAATGGGTGAGGAGACTGTCATCAAATCCACAATAGCTCGGTAGTCCCAAGGTTTTAGAACGGAAGATATAGCATCGGCAGGAGACATATTACTTATTCTTTCATCAAGGTAATCAAATAAGCCCAAACTTAGCAGTTGCTTTCTGATAGTGCTTTCTAAGCTCTATCCACACATATGCAAATTACTTTGACTTTTCTAATGATTGTGGTTAAAAACATGAATTTTAGTCTGAAAATCTGCGCCAATACCGCACTTTTTCGAATAAAGTGCCTTTTTTGTATAAAATAATGTGCAATTTTTTGATATTCAAGTAATCATTAGAAAGAGTTTGGAAAGTTCTTTCGAAAGGTATGCCATATGTCGAGGGACTATCAGGTGCAGCGGCCCAAATTCGGATGGCGTTCAAAAAAGTCTGTCTGACTTCTTTGAAGCGCCACTCGTTGAAATGTCGGTGAGGTGCTGCAAGGTGCTGTCAAGATAACCTGCGAAGGTCACTTTATACAAAGGCGTTAAAAATTGGGTGTTCATAGCTAATCAGAAAGAAATCTTGAAGAATATAAAAAAAAACAAGGTGCCCCATTACTTTTGGATCACCCTAATACATTTGTAACAAGTGTAGCCGCCCAAAAAATTTTGAACAAGAATCCTAGTATCTATCAATACAGTTTTGCTGAGATCTATGTAATGCTGCAGTCCAGCATTTCATTTCAACTAACGTTTATGTCATCTTGAGCAAGTAATCCATCCTTTTTCATTCAAATTTTGGTTCCAAAAACTCTAATAACCGTGCACCAGCAGTGTTTGCTGATAACAGAGGAAAGTGGAATCACAATGCTCTCCGACACCGTAGACAGCATCTGCAAAGATTGCTGGCAAAGTATTGTTTTTTGTATTCGAAAAGCCTTTTTGCGAGCTCTCCATGGTTACATTTGTTAGTTTCACAAGTCTCTACGTGCTTCAGCAAACGCCTTCTCCATCTCCATGTGCTTCACAGTGTCAACCGCAGTGCACTCAGAAGTGCCTCGAAGTAATTCTTGTTTTCTGTATGTTCCACTTGGGAAGAGCTTGGATACATAAAGGGCTCGGCACGGGTGCCGTTTAAGCAATTTGAGTGACATCTTTGTAAGTAAAGAAGTTTTGTGAGTACCAAAGACATAAAACAGAACATTTTTGGAGCATTCACAGTTATAACAGATGCGATGGTCGCGTGCATCGTATAAGCGGTCTTAAGCAACAGTTTTTTCCTCGTCTTTATATACTTCTTATTTCCAAATGCCAGCTATTCGATGATTCAGATAGTTTGGCAAACTGTAACCACTGATTCTGCGAGCATTTTGCAACTATGGGATGTTTGAGTAGGAACAACGTCTTTGTCATTATTTGTAGCTCGCATATCGGTATTGGTTCCGAAGCCGTCATGCTTGCACAAGATCTCGCACAGTATTTATTTGATGTAAACAAGCTTTAAAACTCATGCAATAAGGTCTATAAAAGTATAAAAACCGAGTTTCACAAATAAAATAATGGAGTATGACTTGTATCAGGTCGCTACAAAGGCTTTGTCAATTACTTCAACCCATTCGCAAATCCCTTCAAGTAGAGATAAACAGAGATCTCGAGCTTGTCACGTAGAATTTCCCACTCTTTCCAGCTGTGAATTATTTCTTTCAGCAAGCGCTGAGATAATCGCCAAACATCACAACCCCTTCATTTCTATGCCCACCTCTCGCTAACTTCCAGAATATTTCAAACTTTCGAAGGATGAGAGCCAGCAGATAGGGCCATCTTTTGCAAATTTCCTTGTAATCCTCTGACTTCTTTTAAAATCTCGAAAATATAATTTTTACAGTGCAGCGGTCGGGTTAGTTCTAAACCTCGTAAAAAACCATTTGCTGCAATATTTTCCTTTCTTATATTCCTTTTTCGTAATTCGTGCGAATTCGCAGACAAAGAGTGCGCCCGGTTAACACGTTGACGACAGCGTGCATTTTTAGCTGTCTGCCTTGTGGGACAGTCCCATTTACAGTATGTTGAGTATTTTTAGCTGAAATCAAAGAGGCCGTCTTCTGCAGTATCCCTACAGTGATTTTGAGAAGCAGCTAAGAAACGCGGAAGTAATTCCTAGGAATAAAGCATAACAGAACTTCTAAAACCACGGTCTTTGCATGACCCACCATGTGGGTCACATTGTCGTCAATGTGTTCAACCTTAAATATCAGAAACCGTGTATCTCGTGAAAATAGCTTATTCAATTGTTAAGGTAAGTATCTGTATAACCGAGCTTTAACATCGCAAGATTCTGAAGAATTTGCAGTATTCAGTGCAATAAGTGTTATGCATTTTTTCAGAACTCGATATTTTTGCAAGATCAACCAGCAATCTAAAATCAAAGCTGGAAAAAAACAAAGAATCATCAGTTGCAAAGGGTTGCCTCATCTGCTAGTGGATAAAGTCCCTCCAAAAGCTTGATGTAAAAACTCCGCAAATAGCGAAAGTTATACGTGGTAAAAATGGGGTCGATTATCTCAGGTTCGCTGGAGGAATCACCTCGCGCTTGTAACTGCTGCAAAAAAGAAAAAATTCTGCAATAGGATGCAGCTTGAGTTACTTGTTTTTAGAGTTGACAATTTGCAGGTGAATCGAAAAATCTGACAAAATTTCTGTACCGACCTCATATTTGGCGTTTAGCGAATGTAAGGTCTACGAATTAAGATGCAGTTGCGGTTAAACGACTTTGGACGAACCGAGCTTTGAAAAACCGATAAAAGAAAACAACATCCTACATTGTTGGCTCATAAATCTCTGAGACAATATCATGTTTTCGTTCTCACTCACTCTTTTTGCTGAACGTAAACTTGTTACCTACCTTCTCATCTACCACTAAATGAAATTTTCACCTTTTATCGTCTGTTCATTCCTTTACTTCGTGTTTTTCTCTTCTGTTCATTCATCGCTGCTCATTTTACCTGAAAAGTCCACCACAGTTCGAGATGTACAGTCTGCCCAAATAGAATCAGACTGAATAATTGACTCAAAATCGCCCGCTCGCAACGCTACAGGTGCGATGAATGTGCAGAGCGTTGTTCAAACCTAGCGGTGAGGATTCGTATCATGCTAGTTTTGACTTGGATCGGGACAGATTGTAAGCTTAAACTTTGCAAGCCCGAGCGAAAACGTTCTCCAAAACTCTAGGAAGCCACTGCATGCCGAGCCCTTTCGGGTGGTCATCACGGGGTCTTGTTATTAGGTTGGTTCGAAAGTTCTGGGACATTTTTAGACAAGATCTGCTATTTCTCGAAACATGCATGTACATCCGACAGAGGTACCATTCGATGGAGCAAAGCAAGCTCTACAAGAAGTGCAAAAGTTCGCACCTTCGCCCAGCTAAATTTGCATCCAAAATTTGAGTAGTACTGCAGGCTCGAACGTTTGGAAAAATTCATATCTTCGTTCAAATAAACCCTACGGATCTCTTAGTTGTCATGCAGATTACAAATCACATCATAAACCCATATGTATCATTGCTGTATTGTATTTTTTCCTCATCTAGAAATCGAGAAAACATAAATTTTCATGTTTATACAAAAACGAAGCTACGTTGTCTCCACTTATGTAGTTGCATAGTACAACCCCTTAGAAGCATAACCTAAATTTTTACTTCCTACAGGCCCTAGTTTCCAAAAATTACCGAAATGAACTCTCCTCACTCGGGTGTTCCATGCTAAAATCAATATTTTTCGAAAAATGGGGCCCATAGAAGGCTGAAAGTTTACGATTATACTTCTAAGGGCTTGTACTATACAATTACATGAGCGGGAACAGCGTAGCTTCGTTTTTGTAAAAATGTGTAGATTTACGTTTTCTCGATCTCTAGATTAGGAAAAAATGCAGCAATGATACATATGGGTTTGTAATGTGGTGTGTAATCTGTATGAGCAACGGGGAAGCCCGTAGGGTTTATTTGAACGAAGATATGAATTCTTCCAAATTGTTTGGATGCAAACTTACGCTGGTGAAGCTCGTGCGAACTTCTGTACACCATCTTGTAGAGCTTGCTTTGCTCTATCGAATGGTACCTCTGTCGGATGTACATGCATTAAGTTTCGAGAAATAGCAGATATCGTCCAAAAATGCCTCAGAACTTTCGAGCCAACTATGTATTTTAGCCAATAATTATATTTTTACTTGCTCAAAACACCTCTATATTCCAGTATTGTTTTACAGGAAGCTCTCCAAGTAATAATCAACGTCCAAACGGCACCGTGTCTCTGTGAGCAGCAGTGCTTGAACGGTTGCCGCCAACATCAAAGCGACAATTCAATTTGCACGAAAGTTTGCAGCGAAGTATCGCGTAGGTTCGTTTCTGAGGTATCCGACTATGGAAATTTTCTCAGGTCTGCGCAAATGACTGTCCAGTAGCACAGCCAGTAATGCAGACACAGAAAACGCCGCAAACGCAAGTCTACATCAATTTCGCAACTCCTGAATGTATGCCTATCTGCGAAGAGGCAAGTTTCATTAAAATCATTTGTAACGAACTTGTTCAGTGCATGCTTTAGTCCTGTAATGGTCAATGCGTTGAACGATTACCTCAAGAACATTGTGGAAACTTATGTCATACTCAGTGCATTGCCGCCTGTTCTCAGGTAAACTTTCTTTTTCCAACATAATCTACCATATGTCCATGACCCAAAGCCTGTTGCCATTGGTATGGACCATTCAACTTCTCATGTTATGCACTATTGCTTTATTCAGCCGGTGACATAGTGGCATTTCAACAGCAGAAAGAGACCTGAAAAGTAAACAGTTGAGGTGGAAATTTGATCTGCGGTGATTATCACCTTTATTCTTTGCGGTATGCTAGCTCCGCATGTCTGCAAATAGAACTTCAACCCCAGATGAAATGTCTGAAGTCAGATATAAGCTAGTATTATTTACCTAGCTGACTTGTTCGACTTCGCCCGCACCTGGTGCGACCATAAAGGCATAACTTACAGTGTTTCGGCTTTTCCCTGCCTATCGTGTGAGTGGGCCTCTGGCCGCAACATTTTGCGTTACCCATTGCTTTCTTCGTTGAATGAAAACGCGTTCTACCGCTATTGCGTACGTGAAAATTGGAAGTGGTATGATAGTGACTGATAAAGTTCACTTTTCTTCAAAATCGATAATCAACAGAAGTGTAAATTCGACCACGAAAAGTAGCCTGCGAGATGTACCGGTGTCGAAATATGTGTGCAAAGTTTGGTGCAGATGGGTCAAGAAACAAAATGTTTTATAACAAACATCTTACTAACAATCTACCAACACTCAGCTTTATATATGTATAGATAAATACAGTGTTCTTGCGACCGCGACATTGAAGACAAATTTTTGCTTATACAAAATGCTACGATTACAATGTCGATGGTTTGTGCTAGCAAAATGGCCATAGATAGCACATTCTCGAGCTTTTCACCTCCTGACAATTCGTCCAAGCAAAAAGTGGTCGGCAAGTGCCGGCACCGCAGGGACACTTACCATGAAATTACTAGCCTGTATTTTATCATATGTTCAAAGTTTCTAGATTATGTTCGTTCTAAACATTTAGAATTCAAAATCTATTGTTTGCAAAAAGGCGATTTGTAGGATCCTCTACCAGTGACGACTCCTCAGTGCATTCCTGCTTGTCAGCCAGCTTGTGAGCCATCTTGCATATACAATCAAATGCCAAACAGGATTGAGGTCAGCTCTACACATCCTTTCTCTCTCCCCCCCCCCCCTCCTTCTCCCGTCGGACTCACCCGTACTGCCTCCCTTTTAAAGAGCAATCTCTACGATCTTCAACATAGCTACGTTTTCAGAGTCGTGATACCTGCCAGCCAACCTGTGAAGCAACTTGCGTTCGTGAATGTAAGCTAAATTCGCCATTGATGGTTGCTAACTGCATACCCACATGTGCGAACATTTGTGCACGATCTTGTGCCGGAGAGATCGCACAATTACAACAAACGCAACCACGACCGGATAGCTGCATGCCGAAGTGTATGTCCGATTGTCAAAACCTCTGCCCAGGTAAAACTGAGCAGTGCGCTAGAGGTATGCTAATCCACGGTATAAGTCGAGGCTCGGCACCAGCTGGAACCAGGGAAAATGCAAAACGATGCCCTTTTTGTTTTTGAAATTTTTTTGAGAAGTTTCCTTTGATTTTCAACCCCTCCCCCCCCCATCCTCTCCACTCCTCACATGTCGTTGCGTTCTTGTGCTTCGCTAAACCTCCTCGTACTTCATTAATACAGAAAATTCAAAAATTCACAATGCTTTTATTCGCCGCATGATTTACTCCATGGTCGGCGTCTGAAAATAGCGGTCCAGCACACCCACTCCCTACATACTTCTCTTACATACTTTCCACTTCATCCCTCCTCTCTCTATTCCATCCATCTCTACCCACACCTCCTTTAAGACATGACAAAAATGTTTTGGGTTGTCTAATATAAGTTCGTTTTGCACTTTGAAGCACTATAACAATTCGAGCAAAATTATTTGACAGAGACTTTTTTTTAAGAAGCAGTTCAGGCTTCTGCTCTTATAACGGACACTCAAAATCTTTCGTCATCAATAAATGACAGCTACGTTATGCTTTTTTATGGATAGCCTTTCAGAAAATCACTTTTTTGATCGTCTGAGTTTTGTTCTCAAATTGAGTATCATACGCAATGTGGTGACTGATTACCCAATCTGCTGTAAATTTCTGCAGCCAAAAATGTGAGATTTCTTGGTGCTTGCGCATGGTCAGTTTTTGGGTAATCCAGAGCTCTTGAGTTTGACCATCTATGGTCATGTAAATGACTGCAAAATTTTAAAATTTGTTAAGTGGGCACCAAATATACACTCTACAACCGAATTTGACTTGTTTTTTTGGAGTGTGACTTTCCAAAAATTTGATAAAAAGATCTGACCATTCTCCTTTCCTGCACCATTTCCTATCGAGAAATTTTTTGGATGAACGAGAATAAGCATCCGATTCTCCTTATTTGCTCTTTCCAGAGGTGCGATAAATTCATACAGACACGTTTATACAAAGCCTAGAGGAAGATTATGACCCCGTTTGTTGCTCGTATACTTTCACGGTGAGGACAATATATGTGCAAAAGTATGAAAAACTTTCGAAGGCGCCGTCCACCCAGTTCGACTTCCATGTTTCTGTCGTTTCGGGCCTCGTCACGTCCCTGATTCCGAATAGTCGAGAATCCGCGAAAAACCCGACAATCCCTTTCCGCAGAACCCGCAGGACGAGCGGAACGGAATTTATTAGTGAACTGGGAAGTTGGAACAAGACTTTCAGTCACACAAGTCATCATGAATTCTTGGGCATTGTTCGAGTCCCCTCACTCGCCTAGCACACCACTGCTGCTGTTTCCCTCCCGACCTCTTCAAAAACGATATCACCTCTAGTTTTCCCTCAATAAACGACATCTAGCTTAAGTCGGTTCCAGCTGTGCTAGAAGCTGTTTCAGTTTGTGGCTAAGTAGTGTATTTTCTATGCAATCCCTACTTTAATCAAAAATTAGTAAAAATAGTATGGTCACTTGTGAGAATGTATGTAATATTCTACCGTGAAGGCTGCGAAGCCAGTTGCGTGCAGCTCTGTGGACCAGCGCCAACTCCAGTAAGCCAGTTTCCTCCCTCGTATAATTGTAATCTTCCATGTGACGTACAGTGTACGCAACAATGTCTACATGAAGGTAAAGAGTCGGAATATTTAGTATGATGCTTTTAAAAAAACTAAATTTTCTAGGCGAGGTCTGTGCAACAAGATGCTCACGTGATTGTGATACAGCATGCCCAGTCGTAAGCTGCGAAAATGCATGTGAAACTGTATGTAAGGTTGGTTGCTCTCACGTTTTCTTTTACACGGTAACTAGTTACAATTTGAGGGTAGAATAGCATACATGGGACATTTCGCACTTTAACAGTTTTCATTGAAAAACTCTTCTGCACCGTTGATGATATGCTGGCTAAAGCGGATTTCTCAGAGAATGTGCAAATGTATTCGTCCCTAGCTTAGGCCTCCATCATGTCTCAAGCGATTCCCCCCAAATAGGGCATCCCCGCGATCCCGCAATTTGTCGGGTGTCTAAAAATCCACCACATGCGAATTACTAGTGCATATATAGGTTTTGTAAACGTATGCATACATCCCAAGTTTTACTTACACAAAGTGCGCCCATAATGAATAATTGCTGTAATCCGAAATCGTGTGACGAAAAATATGCTTAGGGTGTTGTTATAGCATACAAAGTTTAATGCCGGCGTCACGTTTTGTGATGCGATGGCTATCCCATCTACTTGTTTTCCAAAAAATATCGATTTGTCAGAGGGGTGCCTCTGCAGATTAGAATGTCTGGGTGCTCCTAAAACTCCTTTTCATAAGTTTGCATCATGGGATGAAAGATCTTTCCTATATGTAAGGTATAGATTCCCTTGTAAAGTGTAGAAAAAAATTTCCCTTGTGTATAAGCTTTACATAATTCGCGTCATTTGTAAAAAAATCAATATTATGAGGTAAAAAACATTGTGTTGTCATTGAAATACTTGCTTTGGATTTTAATGTCAAAGGCAGCATGAAGCCAAGATTTTTATCCAAAGCTTTTCTCCTTCTGATGCGTTTGCATATAACGCGGCGCTTCAAGCTTTTGAAATGCGAGATTCCTTTTCCGAAGATCAAGAATCCCAAAGATTGTCTGGTCGAATCTAAAACAGTGGATTTGCAGTCTTGAGAATCAATAAGCAAAAAATTGGCACCAAATACCTCTCAACCATAGTATCAAGAAGTCCCTATCCCGATAATAGGGAGGACTTTCTGATAGTTAAATGGGTTGAAAAAATGTCAAGTGACTCTTTATACTTGTAAATAATGAAATCAATCATAGAAAACTGGCTGCTGCCGTTATGGGCCCTTCAGAGTTTTTGGGAAGCACCCCAGAAAATTCTCAGGGTTGAAGCCACGCATACCCATCCTAAAAAAATTTTTGTCATGCCTCCCCCAAACGGAAATCCTGGTGGTGCGGTACGCCACCGCTTTCAACTTCATGGCAAATTACTAGTCTCGAAAACATGTGACTTGATACGGCAGAACGCTGAGTAAATCGAACTTGCATATCTTGTATGAGCTTCTCATAGATTATAGTGGCTGCAGAGTCAAACTTGGAAGGCTTTATATTTGTAAACACGTGTAAACACGTGCTCAACCAATCAGGCGTAGTAACATTGTGCTCTCTTCCAAGTACGCTAAATTGGAGGAACTAAACGATAAAGTTGTTAAGCTTGCCCTTAGATATTTATCACAGCCGAAACTTTTTACGATAGAAGGACATATTCAAACCATCAGCCATCTTTGAAAAAAGTGGTTTATGATCATGTTTCACGTAATTACAGGGTCAGTGTGCATTTTCCGGCCAGCAATCCCGACAATGCGCTCCAGCCTGCGCACAATCATGCGCTAAGCTCTGTGCTAAAAAACGTGTGAAACGATCCTAATCAATACCGGCACGCTATAGTTTGGCGTCAGACTGATTAGTTCCGCATCGCCATGACAGCCCTACCTACCCTGTATTCATCCTCCTCGCCGAAATCTCACTACATCATGTTAATCCCGTGATCTTTCAAGTTAACTTAGTATATTTATCATCTTAGGCCTATTTTCTACTTCTAATTTTCATTCTGTTGTTTCCACCTAATAAGAGTTATTCGACTTGATATTTATAATGATTTGTCTTGTGCTCAAGGTAGTTATTTTTATTCTCACTGAGAGCTCATCTAGCATGCTTTCGTCGGTCTTTCATTGAGAATCTTTCAGATCTAATTCTTGCAATATTGTTGCCAAATACTTTACATTTTGTTTTCATTTATGCAACTAATAAAGGTGCAAATTTTTTCAAACCTGGGATGGCTATATTCGCACCTCTGCCTCTCCTTTGTACCGTCAAATATTAGCGACCAATTTCAACTGAATTGATTAATGTAAAATTGTTGAAAGAAGGTCTCAGTTGGACAAACTTAATGCTATCAGGTTTTTATAAGAATCTAACAAAAATGTGCTCAAGACGTTCGTTTCCATTCAGAGTGTGAGCGTAAAGTTCTCTGCGGATCAATGCAATGGCATCTTCTTCTCTCCATTGTATGATCAGCTCCCAGATTCGTGTGAAGATGTATTGCAGACTTTTCTTGATAACAAGGATAAACTTGTCAAACCTCCTCGTTAAAGCATTGCTTTTCGTACTCCCTCGCTAGCAAAAACCGCCACGCTGTGAGTTGGCAAGATTCCACCTCCACACGAATCTGGAAGCCGATCATACATGCAAAAACGTAAATAGGTAGAATGAAAGACAGGAATATTCAAATAAGATAATGTTGATGTTTGACCTAACCCACGTCATTTCACATCAAGCAAAGAAAACAAAAAACAAAACATTGCTGCGAAGAGAAAATTGTTGCCCAGTGAATATGTTTGAACCAATACCGTGCGAGTATATAAATTATGGTGATTTTATTCAAGACAATAGCATCGTGTTTATTCCATCATCAACTAGCTCGTCGGCAAATGCTCTAAATGCCTTGGCAGGTTTGTGAAAAAAACCAATGTTTCCTAGGTTTTTCAATGTTTATTTCTTGAAAGAAACGGAGGAGGAGGCAATATACGCTTGAGATGGATGCTTGCGAACATTTGCACTTGGACGTCATCTCGCACTGGAGGATATGCCAGTTAGACCCACACCTTGACAATTGCCTAGTGAGCTTTTTCGCAACTTTATTTTTCGTAAAACTTTTTTTGAATCAACCATTCATCTCATGTTCCGGATGTACAACTTACATGTGACCTTTCTTTCGAGTAAAGTCTTGACACAGATTTGATCCAGGGAATTTCTGCTTACTTAGGCGGTAGCGTTCAGATTTCTGTAAGATAAAATGTCAAATGGTTTGAGCAGCTGACCACAAAATCACTTAGATTTGAACATACAGTATCAACACGAGGAAACCAGGCTAGCTTGTAAATCCGAAGAATTCTGAAACAAACCCTCTTGTCAGTGGAAGAGTATTCCGTAATTCTCGTTGTCCTAGCACAGCTGATGCCACGGGTCCCAATGTGAAAAAGGCTAGCGCACGCACAATCAAGTTTCAATTGTTTACGAACAAAAACTGCTCTTTAAAAGACAGTCGTAAGCTTCTACTGATTAACAAACTCACAGTTTGATACAATATCATCTTGTTGAGAAATTAATTTCGTTTCATTTATAAACATTCTCCACATAATTCACAATAGGTCCTCGTAGAGCTCATCAAAAGATCACTTTCTTCACATATGGCATGATTATCATTTCCAATTAGAATCTTTCAGACATATAAATTTAGACCATAATTTCACTGGCAGATATTTCTATCAGCGCGGCAATCCGCACCCTGTGTGGCCACGAAGAGGCGTCCATTGTGACATACGCACAACTGAAGCTGTGGTGTTCCTCGGCCCGCACTTCTTGGTTGGGCTTCCATGAAAATATTCGCAGACTCCAATCGAATGTCACCCTGTAATGAAAATCAGGATTCGTGAGGGTCCTGCAAAATACAGTTGCTAGTTTACCTGCTTGGAGGCAATGGTGACATCAAGAAGGGAGTTTATCCGGACCTCACCGGCAGCGGTGAGTAACTCGATGTCTTGCGCTGCGTCGACAGTGACGCTACGTGTTGGAGATTCTAGCCTGCAGTGATTCGCAGGATAAGATATTCCACTCTTGAGAAATAAAGTGAAAGCAAAAAATGAACCTGAGTGGAGTGTCGGGCTCAGGTCTAACAAAAGCAGTTTGTATAGCACCTTCAAAAACGCTTCCGCCGTCATCTGGAAGAAATTAAAAGAAGAACCTTTTGTTTTCGAAGAAACGACATGACTTAGGTAAGCACTTCTAGTCTTTCTTCCTCCTCCCTTTCCGGCTCTTTTACTTCCACGGTTTCCCTTCAATACGAATTGATTTTAAAATGAAAACGATCAGCTCACAGGCTCTCATTGTACGATCTAGAAACTCTAGATCGTACAATGAGAGCCTGTGAGCTGATCGTTAATACAATCTAGAAGAATGATAACTCGATATATGCACAATCAATTGTTTACCAAAACCATTTTGATGTGCCTCACGGATTGAAGTCTACGCCGTCCTCAGAGACTTGATAGTGAAATAAGTTTTCAACAAACATATCGTTACCGGATTCTTTGTCCAAATAGATTTGACTCATCCACCATGAGTGCAGTCTATCATTCACAAACTCGCATTTTTTGTTTAGAACAGTAAGCAGTTAACAATTATACTTCACTTCAAATTTTGAAGTTGCTTAGGTGGCGGTGGGCTGTTTAGAGATCAAAAACCGTGGGAAGAGCTTGAGAATGTCTGTGATAGAGATGCAAAGACTATGCAGGCGCTCTTCAATCTATCATTACTCTTGCCGTAGTCGTAACCAAAAGGTTGTGATATAAATATCTTAATCCCTCATTACTCTACCTCCTCTAATCATCAGCACTATAACTTGCACCTGTGCCGTATTTCGTCCGTTTGACTTAATGAAACTGTTAACTTACACTGTATTACCTCATACATCAACACAACGGGCATACCCTCCTCTACCGAAGCTATTCCGCTCAAGGCTATATTATAAGCCAAGGACCTATAAGGCAACTAAATGTCCGCGCAGTGCAAGACTCGGCGCCTTTCACGAGCCTCCGAGCTCGTTTACTCTCTTCCATTTTAACTCTAAGATTCGAGACCTGCGCTGCTTAAGAACTCAACCTTTCTGCCGTAGAAGCAGGATAGGGAGTATAAGGCGCGCTGCTCAAAATGGTTTTCTATAAAGGCAGTGTCTGGGCAATGTGGGAGTTTCGGGATTTCGGTGCCATGCGAAAATGGCCCCCCTAAGACACAGCATCGCGCAAGTACAGGTTGTAACGTTGGACGTAAAGCAAGAAAAACAATTGGGAAGTGGGGGAAGTTAGGCCATGGGCCGGGGTCCTCCGACCTGTTTGGTTCCTTCATACCGTGTACGCCGCAGCCTGCCGTGTGCACCGCAGCACGCAGCGCACGAAGTGAAAGTACACCCATGGCGGCACAGTCTCGCTATGAACACTCGGAAAACACAGGGTGGCGGATATAGAAATACAGTGATAGACAGAGTGTGCTGCCATAGGCGTATTCTCGCCGCGACTGCAGCAGCGTACGCTGCGTGCTGCGGCGTACGCGGCGTAGTATGAAGGAACCCTTTGAATTTCTACTATGCGGCAGAGTACGCATGCTGCCATAGTCAAAATCGTAGGCCGCAGCCCCTCTAGCCTTGGCGGGGACCGGACCCCGGATTTCAAATTTTAAGACTTTGAAAAACGCATGTTCTCGCCCTTTTCGCGCCTTTTAATGTGGATTTTCGGATTCAGCATTACGGATAACCCCGGTAAGTGGATTTTCTAAAAATCGAGTTTTTGTCCGGACGCTTCCTTTGAAGCACCAGTAATCGATAGCGTATTTTACTACACATCATCGCAATCAAAGAACGGAAAAGTTATGTGTGGCATACATGCAGTCGAGGAATATAACACTACTTTTTCAAGAGATTTTCTAAGCGGACTTCAACACAACTTATTCCTTCTCTAACATACGTGAGGGACCTTCGTACAAATGACATATCTGTCTATTAACAAACAAACTGAACTTAACCTATGTTTTCAGATACTTGGCATCATTCGCTTGTAAATGAGTACACTTTGCTCACCTAATATTCGCAAGTTTTCCAGCTTGAGCCCGATTTCTTGCGCATCGGCAAAGAAAAGCAATCGGTTGTCGGTATCGAACACCTAGAAACTAAAATTCATGGATCGTATTAGCAAATGTTTACCTCTTCACCTCGAATCGATTGCAAACTGCTTGAGTTTTGCCATCAGCGGTGAGTGACATCCGAGCGGAAACCTGGCCGGTAGCGTTACGAGCTTGCATATGTATGCCACGAAACGAGTCTATTGTCAGAGCTTCATCCTATAAAATGTTAGGAGCTTTCAATGAAGAACTTTATGGAAAAGTGAAGAGTTACCCTAGCAGTGCTCAAATGTGAAAATGTGACGGGTTTGTCGAACTGAGCGCGCCCTTCAACTCGGATACCATCTTCTTGTATTTTGAGGGCGCCCATGCCGTCCTGCAGTTGAATTCTGTTCACACTTCTCGCCTTTACTGCATAACAAGTACACCATGCAATTACTCATTTCCATGTGTACACACGTATTGATACCGCAGTAGAACAACGACAAAAAAGCATTTTTGGCACCTAATCATTTTCTCTTACAATTGTAAGCATTTTACTTTACAATCAAAGGGAGGTAAGTGGCCTTCTAATATGAGACAAATGTGGCGTGACATCAGCCGTTTACTTTAGCATTCGAATGAGGCGCGTCAAAAGCCGTGTTCGTGCAAGAAGTTGATTATGAGATTTTTTGCTTACTTTGGCCTATTTAGTGTGCTAAATTCGACAATCCATACAGTAGAGCGCGAAAATGGCGAAAAAGGGCTTCAACGCAGAAGGGAAATCAGTGGGTGAGCGGAGTTCTCCACTTATTAAGGTCCATTCTTCAACTTCCGAAGCTATCATCTCGGTTCTCGTTTCAACTTACGCGTTCGCGCTTGTCCGGTGGCGATGTTAGGGCATGTAGGGAAGCAAGAAGATTACACCTTAGCGAAGAGTACTTCAAAAGTGGAAAGACCCCGCCCACCTGCTCCCCTCCTGCGTTAGGGTTCTCTTTCGCCGTTTTTGCGCTATCTAGTGTGACTTTCGGATCAAGCGTAGCGAGCAGGCCAGCTATGCACGAACTCTCAAAATCGCCGTGATGGCTGAACACAGTAGTGGATATGATCGAATCACTTCATAGCACAGAGGGGAGGCGGTCGATTGATACCCGGAGAGCCGCTCGCAGCCGCACCGTGTGGTAATTAACGAGGTGCGACGCGGCCCTAATTTGCGCTGCGCAACGCGGCAGTCCCTCTAGCTTCCCGAACCTCTCTCGCTTAGGATCTCTCGTCATACCATTCTGAGGTGCAAAACGACCTATGTCGCGCATCAGACTTCAGATAAGCCGACGAAAATAACTTCGAGATATTCGAATCAATTGACATCTTCGTTATAAGCAGATACAAATATGAGTTTCAAATCAAAATTCAAATCTATTTGTTAATCAAAAAAGTTGATCTTCTCCTACACTTCCTACAGCAATGACTTCTTCTGATCTGAGCTACCTGTACAGACAAAATCGCATTATTAATCTCAACCAGGGTAAATCCTTTATTTAATGAGCTGTAATGACCTGATTCTAACCACTCTTGCTAAGTTTATGCCACAGGCCCGAAATGCAGAGGACCTAGCAGTCATTCCGAAATTTGAGTCAAAATTTCAACGAGTCAAACATTTTCAAGCTACTTTCTATTTCGATAAGTCGAATATTCAGTTGCCCTGCTACTCAGTTATTCAAAAATCAATTTTGAAACGACAGATACCTAATCAGTTACAGATTTGGAATAATGAAAACCGTAAGTCAGATCTAATGTTCAGTCAAATAATTTTCGAACAGATAAGTTATTTCATCAGACGAAAATTGCACAGAGTAATCAGACAGTCATTCAAACCCTAGGAAAATGCTACTACTAACTTATCCTAGCAGCATGTTCGAATTTTTGCTAATAAAAATCTCCAAACTAGCTTAGAACCCGCAGCACATAAGAAAGGTAGATTTGGAATCAGTTTTCCCTTTTAAGGCAGTTTCATCTCATATTGAAAAGCGACTTCGACTAATCCTCGTTTCCTTGTTAAATTTTCTGCCGAATGGGGTTGTATATCTCTACGTGACAAAAAGAATTGTATTATTTCGAGGGAGCCAGGCTTAACTAAGATGCTCTAAACAACATTTGTGTTTATGGGACAGGAAGATTCGCACTGCGAATTGCTGGTTAGAAACAAAACGGTATACCACACGTACGCAACCCATTCAAAGTCTGAACGACGTCCTTACCGCATGAAAGGCCCCAAAAACAAATCTCATGCATTTTTCTACTTGATAAAACATTTCATATCATTTCATTTCATTTGTACGCTCAAGGCGTACAAATTAAATGAAATTAAATGAAATGTTTATCAAGAAGTTAGTAATACAGCGGAAACGAACAAGACATGTAAACAAATGCAGACATCATCATGTCAATCCGAGTCTGATCCTAATCAGACTAATGTGAGAAGATGAAACAGCTTGCACTGAATATGTTGATAGGCTAATAGATAAGTATGCAGATGTAGGTATTGAGATTTATAACTGCAAAACTTTGAATCCATGGAGATGGGACGCATGCCCCCTCGTTGCCAGCGGAACGATCCTTAGTTACTCTTAAAAGCAATCCGGCATCTTATAAGGCAGGTCTACTGGCTCAGGTGTAATAACCATAACCCAACCTAGCCGGAATGCTGGGGAGGCCCAATGACCCCTAAGGTGAAACGATTCACATTGCACTGAATATGTTGATAGGCTAATAGATAAGTACACATGACCCTTACGGCAAACGCAGTCAGAACTGAACTGTGTACAGGACTGGGAGGTTCATCAGTATCCAATGTTGTTTTTTTATCGAAATTCGCCCCACAAGATTATCAATTGCTCTTAGCTGTTTCCTGCGTTCTTTAGGAATTGGAAAGTGATTGTTTCTACACTCATGTTCTTTTGACAAAATATGAGGAAAAACATTTATTTTCCGTAATAAAAATGCTGCTCGGCAAATTATGTAAACGGTGCTTATTCCGATTTTAGAGACGATCTCAGTCGCTGGTTAGACGCTTTTCAAAACCAGGTCCGCCGGGTTTTCGAAAAACCAATTTAGAAACTGATGGGAAATAACAGAAGGTTGTGCACTACAGAGGAAAGTACATTATGAACTGAATTTGATAAAATTTTGTCATTTTATAGGTTTTTAAAAACTCTACGAACATGTGAAAAACGACCTGATGAAAATGAAAATTTGACTTACAATCATGCTAAGGTGCATCTTTTTTGAAGAATGCTCAAGTTGAAACTCTATCGGTTAGCCTTGTCTAGCCGATAGAGTTTGTTTGCAAAAACATACGTATTAGTTCAAAAAAATGTTTTTTGCGCTTATTTAAGTAATCCAGGAAATAATCCATTGATTTGATTTTTTTATTGACGAAGACCAGTTCTCGCTCAACTCCTGTATAAGCAGTTAGACTTACCGTGGAAAAATCCAGTACTGACATAATCCAAGCAGTCATCGCTAAGTTTAATACGATAATAATAGTTAGGAGAAGAATAAATATGTAGAGGCACCGTTTCCGCCATCCGTAGATGCCTACCCTAAACATCAGGAGATAGGATAAGGCAGGTATAGTTAGGAATTGCCTTACTTGTATATATCAGCGTCTGCTACGGGTTTTAGTTGTGAATGTACAATAGTCGTATGTGTGGTCGTGGCTGGATAAGTTGAATAAGGCATGCTCGGATGCAAGGGTTGCACGGAAGCACCACGTGGTGGCTCCGGCATCGAGCCACCGCGAGTCCAGACACCATCATCGTTAACTCCGTATAAAGGATAGCGGCTCATGCCTTGAAAATCTACATCTACAATAATCTGCAAGATCACATCCACAATCCGAAGAAAAAAAACGAAAATGGCATGGTCTGAGCAAGCAATACTTTAAACACAACACAGTAAAGTGGACGTTCAATTCAATCCGATAAGAAATGGTGAAATTCTAATAAAATCGTGTTTTGTTTTTCTGAGACTGGCTTCACCCGCGCATTTTGTCAACAACAATGTTCAATTGTTAAAAAAAAACTTATACAAAAAACTTGTGAAAGTTAAGAAATCATTACAATGAAGTACATAAGAACCAGCAACTCATCAAGAAAGTTTCGCATTTCCTTAGCTTTTACAAAATTTATAATATAACATCAAAAAGCTCTCCTTTTCATCCTCCACTTCTTATATTCATGTAATTCCCAACAATAAAAATTTTAGTATCTCGTTTACTGTAGGTACTACTATGTATGCATGCAGTTGTGTTTTCATTTTCACAAAATAGATCATTCAGAATTTGGCAGTGAAAAACCAATATAAATAGCAAGGATCTTCTTGGAACAAATAATCGGAATAGTGGTTCTATTTACAGCATCCACAGGGCTGTCCTGTAATTGCGGTTTTAACTTTTTAAATAGCCACACATTGCGTGCGCATTTCTTTTCCTCGCACTGGAAATAATTACGATACATCGGTAGTAGCATAAAAATATTAGGTTGGCCCGAAACTTCTGTCGCACCATTTTCAGTCATTTTCAAAAACTTATAACTCCTGTTTTTTTTCAATCAATTTGCCTTCTTCGTATTTAGTTGAAAGAGCAAATCATGTCGCAGCAGTGTGCTAGCGTTTTCTTCACTGCATAGATTGAAGCGGTAGAAAATTAGTTTTAAATTTTTTGTTTAGGATGCACAAAAATCTATAGCCTTCAATAGATATCGGAGCAGTCGGTGTTGAGGTTCTATTGTCAGCTCTTTCTAACCTTGCAAAGTTTGTGCTGATTGAGCGTTTCTGTGAAAAGTTATGATTTTCAAAAAGCCAAAATAAATCAAAATTTTCTTTGTATTGCTTGCTCGATAATAATAACTCTTCATAGATGCGCTCAATCAGCATAAACTTCGTACACAGATTTTTTGCAATCCTACACTGAAAATTCAAAATTTGAGTAATTCTCTTACCCGCTTCTATTATGCAGTGTGTGCTCAAGATGCCGTTAAGATACTGTCGTAGAGAGCATGATTTGCTGTTTCAAATAAAAATGAAAATGGACAATTAGTAAAAAAAAGCAGAAGTTATGAATTTTTAAAAATGGGAGACAGAACTTTTGGGCCATTTTAGTAGATGAAACAGCACTACTAAGCACAATAAGCAGTTTGTCAGAGTACGAAATGTTTGTAAGCACCCGCTACGGTAAAGACTGCAATGCAACATTTTTACAAACAAATCCAAAACCGAATCTATTTTGGTTGATATACTGATAATCTTGCAATCTCCAACAACAAATATGTGCAACAATAGTGAGATAAACGAATAGATAATACATAATTTGAAGCTGAATTGGAATAAGCAAGGCATTACCACTGGCCAAAAACATATTTTTCTAGTGAAATTGACGTGACGGATTTGGGACCAAATACGTGCTTATTCATTTTTGAATTTCTGATAGTGTTGGGAAAACCCAGAATATTCTTTTCTGGTGTGTAACAGGAAAGTTTGTGGGGATTTCAACGAACATGTGGTTTCTATGAGACAGAAAAGAAAAGAGAAATTGGGCAATAGAATCAGAAAATCATGCATGCCCCGAAACTCAGGGAATGCGTACAACTGAGCCCCTATTTCGGGTGGCAAAGACGGACTGTGACGTAGTAATCTTGACAAATCCGTCGGGAATCCAAAACTTTCTTCAAAATGATTTTTAAGTGAACGAATTTTTGATAATTGGAGTGAAATTTTTCAAGGATTCAAAGAACCATCAGACATTCGCAAATTATACTTTTATTCAAAGGGCTCATTGAATCGCCGCAACGAAAAGATTGTGGCGAAACCGTCGCGTGAAAAAGTGATTTAGTAAGATTTGAATTCTTAGTCTATTTTCAGAAACAACAACAAGTCGGAATTAATGAAACTTGAGTCAAAATGGGAAAAAAGCTATTTAAGGAAAAATCATGGGAGTGCGACGATTCGTCGCAATTTTTTCGTCGGAGTAATTCACTTAAATCCTTTTCTATAACTGTAAACTCCGGATTTTCGATGGTTTTTTGAATCATTGTAAAAAAATTTTAAGTAACAAAATCCGATCTCGTGAAAATCATTTTGAACAAAGTAATGGATTCGCGAAATCGTCAACAAAAACACGTCGCAGATAGTCTTTTCCACCCAAATCAAGGGCTCAGTTGTAAAGGCTGCTAGGGACTTAAAAACATCAAGCTGTCAGTTGTTTTTGATAGATAAAATCTTACTGCATATGTCATCACCAGAAAATTTAAAACAAATTGATTGAAATTACCTGGTTGAGCCTACGAATCACAAAGAAAAAATCAACGAAACAAAACTCAAAATGTTTTCTAAGTGCCTTTAGAATCAATAGTCGAGCAGTATTACAACATGGACAAGAGGCGTTGTGGTGGCCAGTGCAGATGTGAATGATCCAAGTCAGAGAGTAGGGCTATGGAACAGCTGTGCGATTGACAATGACAGCGCAGCGATATGGTTACGGGCATTAAACGTGAAAAAATAGGATGGAGCAGCAGTTGGAATGATTGATTTCAGCAAACCTGAGTGTTTCACTCAAAGTTTTCTTTGTAGGACTCTTGAATCATGTCTTTGTAAAATCAAAAATTTAACGTAAACCTCTCTGAGAGACTGCTTTCAATCAACTCTGCCGATATAATGCGATTATTTATAAACAGATAAAAGCTATTTACGATCTCCCCATGTCGCTATTCGATCATTTATTCAGTTTTTCACTGCTTTTTTCAGGTTCAGAAGTTTGCATTAGAGCGTGATTTTGTCACAAATTTTCGACCCAAATGCGATGAGTTCGTAGTTTTTTAAAAATTCTAAAATGCCAGCCCGATAAAATATCCTTTTGAAGTTTGGATATTATGTGCATAGATTTTGTTCAAAAAAATCATAGTGTTGAATGCCAGTACTGCGCCACGTCCGGATTTCCCGCCAAAACGCACAGCGAACGCACGCTGCTAGTAGATAACAGTAATAATCGAAAAAAAAGTTTGGATGAGTTTTTCCAGGGTTTTCCGGCTTTTTTATTATTTCGCAAAAATCATCATTATGGGCCACAAAACAGAAAGCAGAAAAATGGCTGAATGTGTTTGAAATGCGCGCGGTAACAAAGCGGTTGTGCGAGGGAGTGGCAACAAATCTGCTTGACTCAAACATATTTTGGTTTTTTGATTAATTGTCTTTTTCAATTTATCTTCGAAGCTTCTAATTTGTTTTGATGTGGAACTCCTGACATAGCTTTACATTGTTATCATGGTCCAGATTCCTACATCCACTTTGACGAAACTTGCTCATTTCTCCCAGTTGTTGAAAAATTCTCTATAACAAATATTTTATTTAGGTCATTCCGAAAGTAATTTCGCTTTTTTCAAACGGACGCCACATGTGATGGAATGATTTCTAAGACATCTTGGTAGCATTCGATGCAGAATTTCATCTTCCTTCTAAAGATTATATTAGGGTGATCCAAAAGTGATGGGGCACCTTGATTTTTTTGAAGAATTCCTCAAGATCTCTTTCTGATTAACTATGAACAACCAGCAATTTGAACGCTTTTGTATAAAGTGACCTACGCAGATTATCCTGACAGCACCTTGCAGCACCTCACCGACATTCCTTCAAGCGGCGCTTCAAAAAAGTCAGACAGACTTTTTTGAACGCCATCCGAATTTGTGCTGCTGCACCTGGAGGACCCTCGACATATAACATACAATTCGAAAGAGCTTTCCAAGCTCTTTCTAATGATTACTTGAATATTCAAAAAACGCCCACTATTTCATACAAAAAAGACACTTTATTCGAAAATGTGGGGTGTTTGGCGCAGATTTCTAGACTAAAATTCATACCATGTTTTGGCCCACAATCTTTTGAAAACGAGAAAAGTCGAAGTAATTTGCATATGTGTGGATAGAGCGTAAAAAGCATTATCGGAAAGCAACTGTTAAAGTTGAGCTTATTTGATTACCTTGATGAAAGAATAAGTACTATGCCTCTTGATACCAAATGCTATATCTTCAATTCTAAAGCTTTGGGACCACCGAGCTATTGTGGATTTGGTGACAGTCCCCTCACCCATTGCTGCGCACATATCTTTGGTAGGCTCACTTGTTCTACTGCGGCGCTGCTGATCAAAGTTCAAAATTGCTTGAAGTGATGAGCTTTCATTTTAAGCGCTTATAAAAATAACGCCATGTGACAGTGCCCAACTATAGACCTCGATCAGAAGGTTTTGTTATGTACTAAGATCTGCCAAAACTTGGACTTCCAATTAGCTTTTCTATTTGAGAAAACTGCAATTATTCTCTAGGTGCCCCATTACTTTTGGATCACCCTAATAAATATAATAGAATTATTGCAGCGCGGTCAATGAGCTTTTGAGAAATTACGAAAATCTGCGATCCATGCTTTTTAAGTTACTCAAGTTTCCCAATTTATCTAAATCTTTACATCAACCCTCCGAGGGAGTTCAGGTAACGATTCGATAGAGCAAACCTCATAGGATATGGCTTAACTTTTTTCTCGTTTTTATATCTCGCCATAATTTCTTAAAAGATTTATTATTAAAACCATCGAATTTTGACAGGCCTACGTCAGCCACATTCACATCAAACACCAATAAATCTTCGGAATTTAAAACCTCCAGAATGGTATTATGATCTAACACTATTTTGCAAAGCGAATGAGGGTTTACGGGATCTATCTAATTTCGATTTTTCCGGGTACATCCCAGAACGCGTTCGATATGAATTACGATGATTTTCTACACAAAAACTCCATGAAGGGGAAACAAAAAGCATATATTTGAAAAAGGAGAACAACCTGCATCGAATGACACTCGAGCTGCTTACCTTTTGATGTTCTACGATGTTTGAGTTTATCAAGGATGGAAATTGGTAACATCAATCAAAATCCTCTTAACAAATTATGAGAAGTTATTTGAAGGAGGAAAAAATGTTTTGTATCCTGTAGGGTTTGCTCTATCGAATCGTTTCTTGGACTCCTTCGGAGGATTGATGTACACATTTAGAAAAATTGTCAAACTCGAGCATACTAAAAAGCATGGATCGCAGACTTTTCGTGATTTTTCAAAAGCTCGTTAACTATGCTGCAATAATTCTATAACCTTTAGAAAGGGGATGAAATTCTGCATCGAATGCTACCAAGACCTCTTAGAAATCTTCATTCCTTCACATGTGGCGTCCGTTTGAAAAAAGCGAAATTACTTTCGGAATGACCTAATATAAATAGCATAATTCTCGATCAAGGCGCCAGATATGGTGACTTGTATCAGGCGGAGGAGTTGCGCCTTTGAACGCAGCGTCCGGGCAAAATTTCGATCAAAATTTTTTCGCTTACCTGTGCTTATACTTCCCGTTGATTATGAAAATGCAGCTTGCAGAGTACGAAAATGTAACGGGCTATTCCGGAAGCCCCTTATTTTGAATTCGGACGCTTGCCGCCGAGTTTAAGCGCAGAGTCGTGGTGGGACCCTACGAGTTGACTGTGTGCGTCAAGGAACTTTGGCTATCGATTGAGGGAGCGGGCAAGTCGTCGGGGCGTACAATTGTAAGTCGCCACTTCTGATGCGGTTTTCTTGCTTCAGGATCAAATTGGAGCGGCACCACTTGGGCCAGAGCTTCATCAGGGTGGAAGCTGTATCACTCTTTGTTTTTCGTGTAATCGTCAAACTTGCCCGGACGCTGCCCCTTGTATTCGAGCAGAAAAGTGGCGATCTTAACCTCTATCAAATAACAGGTGGTTCAATGGTACTTTTTATTACCCTTCTCTAGGAACGTATCGTTACAAGTGATGAGGAGGCCGCCTGAAAGCTGACCGAAGAGAGAGAAGGGGTAGGGGAGGTGAGAGGTTTTGGCATGTGCCAAAACACCAGGCAGAAAGACAAACAGTATAATAGAATATTACTAGTTACATACAATTTTACAACGAAATTTACAAATTCGACCCATAGTCTGAAAATTCACGGCAACATCACAGAGCATTGAGGTAGAGGACAATATTTGCGCTGATATGAACTGGATGTAAAAAAGGAATACTGTAACAAATGGCTAAGCACATAGCTAGCGAACTTCATATCGAATGGAAATAATGAGCATTTCTTTCACGGCTTCTCAGAGACAAAATTGGGGCAATCTAAATAGAGAAGTGCATAATTAAGGGGGATAAGTTATATTAAAGTTGAAAGGCAGGATTACTGTAAGCCTACGATTACGAAAATCTTGGCTACAGTAACCGCATCGCTACAGTAATAGCCCACAACCAAATAAGTGATTGCCCCATTCGCAGAGTTGATTTCCTGGGACAGCCGTTGAGATACATATGGCAAGGATGCCGCCGTTCTGAAAATCTTACGCTTTCTTGACAGTAGATGAATCAATCGATAATTGATCGCTTACCGTATTTGTCGTCCTCCTCGCTATTTGCTTCTTCAGTTCCGTCGATTATGATCCAGTCGCTTTCCATTGCTATCTTGTTTTGCATATAAGCGCGAATCTTCACCTTGTAGTCAGTGTTCGCACGAAGTATACCATTACAGTACTACAAAAGAGAATTACGGTAATTGGGTGCAGTAAGATGGGTTATGGTAGGTTACGGTACCGGCTCATCGAGACTGCGTCGTACGCAGTCGTCACTGCCAATAGTGAAAGAGGTATTTCGAACGTTGCGAGTAAATGGATTCCAGTCCGAAGGTGAAGCTCTGAATAAATAACTACATATTCTATAACTACTTAAAAAGCTATTCAGGCAGATCTGCACATCTGAATCATTCAAATAGAATACGGTAGGGTAGACTTAGGTAAGTTATTCTCCAAATTGCAGCTCTTCTGATTCATTAACGGCCGAGAAATTCAGCTCTAAACTCCTGCCCAGTGTGCTCAAGGAGTGTGGTATCCTCGAAAAGATTACGGTCTGGGCTGGATCTTAGAGTTGAATTTTATTCTACGACTGAACCATATGAGATGATGTTTGGTGAAAGGCGTGCTTAGACCTTCCAGACAGTACTCCCGCGTAAGTCTCACCCTAATTTGCGTGGACACTCCTTCCAGATAGTTGCACATTCTAAGGTGGGGACGAAAAGATAACAATTTTTCTCCAAAAGGAGGTTTTACACCACTTCCGAAGCATTTCTTTTTTGCATTTTTGTGAGCCTGTAGAAATTTATACGGCTAGCTTCATTTAGACAAAAAACTAGTTTTGGTAAGTTTTTAGAGTTTTATGTAGAATATATCATTATAAAACTTCACCCGTCTTCGAAAGCAGGGAAAAGAATGAGTGGAAGGAGAAGTGATGTGCGAGAAAATCTAACTGGAGTCGGATATACCTGTATGACCCCCAAGTTTCCTCCTCTCGGACCTCAAACCATGACTTCAGCTCGTAAATATCGTCGTTAAGCTAAAATTGTCCATTTTTTGCATATCAGCGGAAATCAGTGATTGTCAAAAAGCCCACCTCAGTGTCATCAGTGACTATCACGGCAATATTGCTGATATCACCATTTAGAGGGGAGAAGACCTAGAACACAACTTGTTTATTCAGGCTACTTTTTGGCAAACTCCGCCCAAAACTCCGCCCACCTGCTGATCGTTTTCGAAAGACACTTTGAGCTCGCGACTCCCAAGTCTCACTAGCGATGGCGATAGTCGGGCTGCTGAAACCATTGGATATGTTAGGCACCGTGTTTTCTCCCCAGGACCGCTCACCTTTAGGAACGTAAACAGTAATCATTTCGCTTTCACTCTCGGCTGCAGCCTTTCCTGTACCCATGATTACCGTAATCGTAAAGGTATAGTAAACATCCGTTTGAAGATTGGAGAAACGATGACGGCTACCACCTTTCAACTCGACAGATACGGTAGGTATTTTGTCAGCGTTGTAACTAAACAACTAGGAATTTCTGGTAAAATTTTCTGGCTTTAGAGAAAAGCACACCTCAGTCGAAATCGAACATCACTGTCGGCAAAGTTCTCGACATCCCAGTATAGAACCACATATTCTCGGCCAACAACTGGTAGAAGCTCGGTAACCTTCAGTGGGTCTGAAAATTCCCTATTGTAATTTTTTTCTTTGAATTCATCAATCAACTTACATGTTGTAATGGCTTCGGTCACGGGACGACTTCGTTTTCCTTTGTATACGGTATACAATGAAAAGTCGTATGTTTTGCCAGGAATAAGCTTCGTGAAAGTTAGAGATTTGCTAAAAGACTAAGTTTTGCTTCTTTGCAGCGAAAACTGGTCCTCAAGTACATGAGCTCAGCTATCATAGGCAATACGGTTACTGATATTTAGCTGTTCACTGGTATTGTTACTTTCATTTCAGTTGCGATGCTGAAGCTGTAGCTAACGGCACTGCGAAAACTGGTCCCTAAGACATTAAATTCTCCATATCGCTTATATTAGGTTGGTGCAAAAGTTCTTTCCGCCCAAATTCAAAAATTCATAACTTGTTGAAATCTCAACGAAACTGCAAGATCTAAATTTTGCTTAAGAGAGAAACTCATGCTCTTTGCATCTGTACCTGAACTGTTCGTTAAAGTTTACAACTTAAGGAGATAGAAGCTCAAAACCAAAATCACTCAAAATTTGAATTTTTCGTGTAGGGTCATAAAAAATCGGAAATCTGCAACAAAAATCGGAGCAGTCAGGATTGTAGGTTCTTTCACCAGCTCTTTCTAACGGTGCAAAGTTTGCGCTGATTGAGCGTCTCTATAAAAAGTTATGATTTCCCTGAAAAATGCCAAAATAAATAAAATTCGCCCTTTTGTATTGCTTGCCCGAAATTCATAACTTTTTATAGAGACGCTCAATCAGCGCAAACTTTGCACCGTTAGAAAGAGCTGGTGAAAGAACCTATAATACTGACTGCTCCGATTTTTGTTGCAGATTTCCGATTTTTTATGACCCTACACGAAAAATTCAAATTTTGAGTGATTTTGGTTTTGAGCTTCTATCTCCTTAAGTTGTAAACTTTAACGAATAGTTCAGGTACAGATGCAAAGAGCATGAGTTTCCCTCTTAAGCAAAATTTAGATATTGCAGATTCGTTGAGAATCAAACAAGTTATGAATTTTTGAATTTGGGCGGAAAGAACTTTTGCACCAACCTAATATTTTGCAATCTATTTTGCAATCTATTGAAGGATACGTGGATACTTTGGAATATCGTTAAGTGATATGAGAAATGTAAGGTGTTGGGGACCAGTTCTCGCCTTGCTGTTAACTACATTTCTAGCATGTTCACATTTTTGTTTGCGGAATCTAAGCGCTAGCTAGGAGTTTCTTTTTGATGACAGATAAAAAGGCTAAGCTGCTTTCATTGGGTTTTTAGGAAAATAGTGAATTTTGTGTTCAAGAGACTTCTACAAGATAGCGCGGCTGAAAAGGCCTTAAAAGGGCAGGTCAAATTTCCCTCCGAACTACACGCCGTAGAAAATTCGAATTTCGATAGAATGAACTGACTCCTGATTGATCTCTATCTTCTTCGTAATGTTTTTGTTGTTCCCGGTGAAGACCAGCTCGTAATAATCGAATCGACCTTGATCGAGATCCGACTCCTCGAAGTTGACGTTGATTGAAGTAGATGTGATTTTCCCCGGTGAAATCATGGAAGAGATTAATGGAGCTGTAAAAAAGTTGAATTATGAATTTGCTTATTATTTGTTAGAGAGTAAAGGTGAAATTTTTGACGAATTAAAAAAAAATCAGTGCCGCGAAAACTGGTCCCCAGATAAGACCTGTCACTCACGTGTAATTCTTTCAATCTCAGTCGGCTTAGATTTAAGTTCCAGTTCAACTGATTCGTTTCTGACAGCGATATGGTAAGTTTGCGAAGGTTCCAGCTTGTCTAGCAGCACTGGACCCGGCTCATACACTTTTATCTCCTTGCCATTACTCTAAATCGATATATCGATTTACCATTTTGCAAGAATCACATACTGACCTTTCCTATACCATACGATATAACGATTGTGTAGAGATCGAAGTTATGATAAGCTGGCCAAAACCAGTCGACCAATATCCGTGAAACGTAGAACTCGTCCGTTTCGGACGAAAGCACCCGCATGCTTTGTATAGGTAGTGGAACTAAAGTACTGTATGCAAATTAATAAAATCAACAATTTGAAGCGAAACTCCTTACCTGAAAGATCTGCGATACGATGAGCCCACCAGGTTTTTGACAATGCACCTCCTATCATACAGAAAACTCGAATATCGAGGGTGTGGTTTGAAAAGAACTAAAAGAGGCATTTTTGCGAACAGGGGTACGATAGGAGTACGGTAGATATGTCAGAATTATGAATACACTTTTTTGAATGCAACTCCGCTTGAAGCTGCCTTCTTTCTCCTTCCGGTTTGAAAATATTTCTCCAACCACGTACCTTAATTATAGTATATTCGTCTCCTGTAGCGACGGAATATGATTTCGGACGAGTTAACGTTAGTATGGTATAATTGACGAAAAAAGCTTCACATAGCGACCCCTCGGGCACTGACCAGTCCAGCCTTGAAAATTTTTATCAAATAGAAGCATATTTGGAATTGCCACCCAAGTTTACCTTATTTTGTCCTCCATGGGGCTCATTATAATCGAAGTGGGTTCTCCAAACTCAGAAATCATCTTTTGAACGGGTAGGGCCTCGTAATTCTAAATGCATTTTTTTCTATGCCTTCACAAACTTTCACCTGTATGAACTTTTTCTGCTCGCAATGCTTCCAGTAAAATCCAGTAATTTTTCAACAATTACTCAACTCGCAATCTTTCGAAAAAAATTCTTAGTTAATTTGGACGGAAAGGAATTGAGCTCAATGCTAACTCTCCTCTGTTCTCTGCGGCATAAGCTTTCTTCTGTAGAAAAAGATCGCTCTTGAATGGAATTTCAGTTAAAACAAAAAAGAAAAGCAATTTGAGCACTGAGATTTTAAGTGTGGCTGGCGTTTTTTGATGTGAGCTGCATAAAACTAAAAATTGAGAAAGAATGTTGCGTAAAATCAAGAAATTGAGATACGAAATATAATAAATATCAAACTGAGCATAACTTTCGCAAAATCTTCGAAAACGGTCACTAGATCAGTTATCAATTATTTTATGACCAGGAGACGCGAGACCGTATTGCACACATTGTTTAAACAAGCCGGATCCTGTACTTGGCAGGTTTATACTTGTTATTTATCTCGTCCAGGTTTATTCACTCCTTGGAAACAGGGAAGAACAAATTCAACTTGTTAAGACAATGCGGTTTTGCGTCTAATAGATGATATTTGTTTGCCATGTCTCTCATTGTCAGTCTTGACAAAATTCTCAAACTTTGGCGTCTAGGAAGAGTTTTCAATGGAGCATTCTGTCTCTTAATTGGAATGGAAACAATTTTGGGCGGGAATAAAAGAATTAGAGACATCTTTGCTTTGCATGATTATCGAATTAACATTAAATATAACTGTTATCAATCATATTCTTCTTTTTTTCATTTGTATTCCTTTAGAAATTGAGGCAATAATCCTCGCAAATCGAATATATGGATTTACCTCACTGCCGTCATCTCCCGTTTCAACAACGACCTCTTTTGGCTTTTCGATTATTGACTGTATGGACATAGCCTAAAAGACAATTTTTAGAATGCGAAAAACAAATGTTAGGCTAAAATTGTAGACTTACATCACTTTCGTCACCACTCACAGCTTTTCTAGAGCTGACGGAACTTCCAGAGTTGAGGCCATGATTCTTTTTTGGTTTTTGAGTAGATAGTGTCGAAGGACTGGAAGTGATAGCTGATGACCTTTGACACATTGACGACAAGGCCGATTTTTCGATTACTGCCATTTTGGACAGGAGCCTTTTTCGCTTCGTCAAAATTACGACCCACATGTGGGTCGTATTGTCCGAGATGGTAGTCTTTTTGGAAAAATTTCAAAACATGTCCCCGAAAATTCTTCCAGAGGGGTAATCGAAGGCGCTGATTATTGAAAAACAATTTATTTCAGTTTTTGGCGTCATACGGTAAAGTTACGGTAGTCGTCCTGCACGAAACCAACACCATAGATTTCCATGAAAAATTGTGTTTTGGAGTTGTTTCACGTGCTGATTAGGTTTAAAGTGTGTCCACTTTGTTCACTACTGCTCCACAGTAGCGAACAAAGTGGGGCTACGGTAGCAGTACGGTGGAATTTCCGCAGAAATCAAGAAACTGATGTAAGAAGGTGGTATCAAAACTTGAGACTATCATTTACGTAATCAGCATGCTACAAAACCTATGTATGCAAAGTTCGACCTTCCTAGGATGAAAAACGCAAAAAATCAATAAAATCAATAAAAAGGATATTTTCTGTGGCGTCAGCCTGTTGCCCGCCTCGTATTACTCTTACATGTAAACTTGATTCTCCAGAAACAGCGTCATTTTGCGAAGGATTTGAGCCAAAAGTCTGTGCCTTATACCTATCTACTGTACACCTACCATAACATTGCGTTACAGTATACCGAGCCCGGACCACTCTGGCTGGAGCTTCACCTAGGTGCCCCCAATCATGTGCCAAAACCTCGTAGAATTCCACCTTGAACTGACATGTCCTGCCATTTCGGACAATACGACCCACCGGTGGGTCGTATTGTCGTCAATGTGTTAAGAAAAGTTTGAAATACTGACCTTATTATAGGTGCTGATGTAGTCAGTTCAGAGGTTAAAATCAAACTCGGTTCCGCCGCCATATCAAAAACCTGCACTGTAGTTGTTGTGGGCGTGGTCGTGGGCGTGGTTATGGGCGTTGCCAGATCTTTGTTTATAGTTTCAGGCCGACTTGTAGGTTTCGGTGGTGGTACTGAATTCGGCGCTATGCCATGATATGGAAAAGCTGATTAGCAAAGAATTACTCACCTGTTATAATTACATTCTTGTTAGAGTCCTCGAGTTCATCATATTCATTGGGTTCCACAGTTGCGAGATTTAAACCAGGTGGTAAGGTTTGGACAGTGAATACCTCACCAGAGTAGGAGTAGTCGTAATCCGCTGAAAACTAGCCGGCTAGAGATTTGAGTAAACTCGTACAATATAGACGCAATTGGACGAGTCATCTGCCATTCTTCATGAGATTACTCAGACAACCCATGGGAACTTCTGCGGGACAAGGAATTCTTGCAGCGTTCCAAAAGTTTGTTTACTATCAAGGATGTGTAAGAGTTGAGAATGGGAACTTCCGCAGGAATTTGACGCCAAACTGTTGGGTGAGGGAAACTTCCACGGCATTTCCCACAAACGCAAGCAATCCACCGGAAATGCCGCGAGATATGAAATAATTGCAGAACTTCCGCGAAATTTTCTTATTATTCCAGAATTTGAAGCGTAGATAAGGGGAACTTTCACAAAATTTTAAACAGAATTCCGCAACACTTTCCGCCGGCTGCGGAAATTCCCGAAAGTCCAGCGAAACTTCCGGTCCATTGTCGGAGTATAATTGAGCAAAACAACTCATTTTGAAATTCATACCACTGTAGTTGTAATAATTCGTGTCCTTCATTTTTCTGAGACTTCAAATAACTTTTCTGTGAAAAAAGTATCCCCCCTCTTCCCCCTCCTAGGCACCACCTCGTTCACACTGCTTTTTCAGCTCGAATTGCAGCAGTCAGAGCAGCGCATGTTTGATATTTGCTCTAGAATTGCTCCGTCCGTGACCAAATCGCTATTGTTTCCGTCGGTAGCGCGGCGATGAACGAATGCGATCAGCCGCATTAGGTGTTAGGTGCTCTGCTTTTCGGGTCCAATGTTTCTTGGTTTTGAATTCCAATGGCTCAGAATAGAAGAGGAGAGGATAAACTTGCTCATGAAAGATGGAAAAATGCAACACAAATCGATAATTTAGCTCAGTCAGTCAAGAAAAAATATACTTCGAAAATGATCTGATCTAGTTGTTAGATTGATACACAAGTCTTGTGCTTCCAAAAGTTTGAAAAATTTGTAATAATTTCAACTTCATTCAAATCTCTTACTTTATATACATCGAATAGAGAAAAGCTCGATTTCTACAAATTAGAAGCAAAAACATCATTGCCATATTGCAATGACGCAAGTTTAGAAAAAAAACGCTCAAAAACCAAATTTTTAAAAAACTTTTGCCCGCTGAAAAATACTAGTCTACTAAATTCTCATATTCTACTAAATACTAAATACAATCTACTACATTCTCTAAATTCAATTCATTTTTTTTTTTGGTTTCTTAACATGATTTTTCCATGTGAAAATAATGCTCTTTGGAGTTTTCTAAGATAGTTATAGTTTTTTAAATTTTCTTATTCAACTCTTTACCCCCATTGCGAAAAAATCTCTGGTAATTAAAATTAACTAAAATAATAAATGAAACAAGTTCAATTTGCTAAGAAGTGAATAATGTGCTTTACATAAATGAACATTTTTCAAACAAATGATATTTTTGGTGTCAGTATTACGTATCAACTTGTGAATTACACATTCAACCATGATGGTGCCGAAGATCAATTTTTTTGCATCCATTCTAGCGAAGATTTTAATAGAAACCTTAGAAAATCTGTAATGAAGTTTTTTTCAAGTCAAAAGTCCGGACTCCGGAATATGGACAACATCTTTTTGAAGAACTTCATTTTATACAGATTTTTTATCAGGTTGAAATTCCATAAATTTTGCAGAGAAAATTTTTAGATAGAAGAGATTTTAAAAAAAGAGGCTAAAGGACATTTCAAAAACTTACGCGTTCCATCTGTTTGAAAGCTCGTTTCGATTATCTCTGTTGATGGCACTCCATTGTAGATTGACCTAATCTATAATAAAAGGATAATTTCAAAAGATTCTAGTTATTTATTCGATCCTACGGACTTAATTGCAAATTGAAATGATTAGACGAAAATTTCGGATTACTCTAAATGAGTTGTCTTGATGGGAGCAATTTGTGTAAAAAAATTACACGATCGATTCGAACGAGCGATAATTCCAGATATATGCTTATACTATTATCAAGGACTTATTATGTGTATCAAGCTAGTTGTAAGATATTTATCACATAAATTTTTAAGTTTATAAAATCTAGCCCCACCTTTATTCGAAACGCCGTGCCGGAATCTAGGCCCCGTAATTTCACCAGCGATGCTTTCGTGTCAATCATATTGGCATATTCTGGTTGTTCTTCGGGATAATACTCTGTAAAAAAAACTTGGTCATGATTTTTTTTTCAATTTATGCAAGAAAATGTAGACAAGGAAAAGTCAATGAACTCAGTAATCGAAACGGTTCTTCCCCATACCTATATGGAATGTAACATTGGTTTCTTTTGGCGGGAAATACGAGATTGTTGCCTCATGCTTGGTAGTTTCTATGGAATCCAGGATTGGTGGATCAGGGCCTAAAAACCACGATATCCTTTTTTCTCCGCAACGTTTAAGCTCTGTACCCTTTTTGAGCTCTTTTTATCATAATCTTCTTCACACCGAAAGAAGCAAACAAAGAATTGAAAAACCCGTATCTGTTGCTCCAGTGGCAAACGACAATGGTGGCTGGGAGACAATACACAAACATGTTGTGCAATTTTGCGTACAAGCCTAATCCAACCAGCAAACATCGACCCTTGCAATTGTTTCATGTGAGCGGTAAGGACAACACGGGATTTGGAAAGAAGTGCAGAAAGGAAAGGTGAGAGCCTCCTGAACCTGCTCGTCAACTGCTTTTGGTTCGCCTTGAAGGAAAAACGCAGTACCGCATTTTTACGTAAATTCCATTTTGAAAAAAATCTTTTCGACAAGGATTCACTCATTCACGCGAGCTCGCGATGATAACTTCATTGATTGGAGCAAAATCTACTCAAAAACACGGGCCTGCCGCGTTGCATAGAGGTGCGACGCGGCAGGCCCCTGTTAGACCTATAACAGAGTAAACAGCGCACTACTATAGAATACACATAATACACTTTCAGGAAAAAATACTGTAGATTCACGTTATGAAAACCACAACAAATTTCTGTCCTACGGGTTAGTCATCCATTTTAAGCCCGAAGGGCTTTTCAGCCCAATAGGATTTAGCTATGAATGCGGGTCTGCCGCATCGCATAAGCCGCGGCGCGGCAGGCCCTTGTTTTTTGTAGCCATAACAGAAAAACGCACTGCTATAGAATAAATCCTCCAGGACCAACGATCTCTTCCCATCAGGCATTATAGCAGACAAATAAATCGTATATTCACATGCAGGCATTGTATCCTTGATCAGCACTTTTGTAGCGGTCCTAAATCGATATATGGTGTTTATGAGTATGTTTTTGCAGCAGGGGTTATTGTTCGGCTACTTACCTCTCAAGTGCTGAACCCGCTGGAGGGCTACCTACCGCGGGTGCATAGTCGAGTATGTATGTGACCGCGTCAGGTATGGTTTTCGAAGACCAGTCGACCGTTATACTCGAGGTAGAAAACAGCTAAAAATCGAAATCTTTTTTGGAGGGTGGGGGGAGGGAGAATATCCTATATCAATATAAAACAATTTCTTCCACAAGGTCAAATTTACAGAAGCATTGAATACACGAAATGTCGAATGTTTTATTTTAACTCATTCTTACTGGGTAATTTTCGCTTCAGGACCTGTTCTAGGTCTACCAGTACGCGGATAAATGTCCCTATCATGAGCAAAATAGGAAGCCTCGCGATGTGAAAGAAGGAAAATAAAATAAAATAAAATCGCGCCACGAGTAAATATCGAGTACTGCATGAAGAATAAAGTTTATGATTATCTAAGAATTTTTGAATTAGAAATACAACATTTTCTACCGAATTTTTGAATGCAGTGTGAAAGATATTCAATGCGGTGGCACAAGAATTTTCTATAGTTTTTTTTTACAAATTTTCCTTTACAAGAATTCTTCTGGACCTTAGCAACCCTAAGTCTTTTTTTTTTCAAGTTTGCAAGGCAAAAAACATAAAATGACTCACCTTCAAAGTAGCTGCCAAAACTATGAAGAAATACCTCCTCATTCATTCAATCTCGTGGCTTCATGAAATAATGGCAGATAAGGAGATTAAATGTTTACCTGGAAATTGCTGGCTATGGCTTTGTAGTAAAGGAAATAAATTCTGGATCAATGGGGGAACGAGAGATAAAGTAAAGGTTGGAAGTGAATAATATGAATGGACCATTAGCCTGTAGTAATTCGCATGCCAAGGATACAATATCTGTATGAGGAGCGAGATATTAGAAAATTATAATGAAAATAGTTGAGACTTGAGGCTTTGGGTTTGAAACCAATAAACAGGAATGAATGATAACGTACGAAAGTTATGTAAGGAATGCGAGAGAGATGAACGGGAAATGTGAAGTGCGAGCAAAAAACGCAGCGAACGCGAACATGGCAAACATTCAAGGAAGAACCATTTTATTTGAAAAATATTGTTTGATTTTCTCAAATCAAACAATATTTTTCAAATCGAAATTTTTGATTTCCTTCTCGTTGTAAAGTTTGTGATTTCGTAGCGTTCCGCTTAGACTGAAGAGGTGTGAGTATCGAGTATCAGCGATGAAGTGCTTGACGACAGTCACGCCTCCACCGCCGAGCTCAGCTCGACTCGGCTGACCAGCGCGCTGGCGCCATGGCCTGACAGGCGGAACTCCGCGCGGCGGAGACCGGATCAACGACGCGTCGACCGACGGTCCGGTAGCCGTCAACGCTACTAGCGCTGACGTCGCCTGAATGGATTGCGAACAACGCTGAACCATTGCCGCTGGCGGCAGTGGCTGTCAGCCTTCCGCCAGTGGCAAGGGAAGCCTGCGGGAGGGGGGCTTATAATGACGAAAGGGATTAGAGCTTGAAAAAATCGCAAAGAAGATTACGGTTTAGGACATGGGATTTGCTAGAATAAAAATACATAAGCCTTTCAAAAAAGCTTAATGTTTCTTCAAACAACGTCAAGTGACCATACGGCAGACTATCTCGAAATTTCTCGAAAAATTAGATCTCCCTTATCCGGACCTCTGCCAGATGATGTGGCCAATCAAAGCGAATGCTATATGAGTCCACAGCTCTTGTATATTCTTATAAGAATAATAGTATCGTGCCCGAAGGTATATAAGAGTTGTGGATCCATAGAGTTTGAAACGAGGGGGGGGGGGAGAGGAGATGACAGAAAATTTTCCCAGTTAAGAAGTGCGGTACCTCGATATTTTCCAGAACAGTTTCAATTTTTTACCTTGAGAACGCTAACAAAATTCAGTCATTGAGACCCATCAAAGAATTGGTTGATTCTATAAACTATATAGATGCTCGGAAATCTACGAACCATTTCGCGGGGTGGAAAGGGAGAGGGGTGGTAAGAGGGGGGGAGAAGGGTGAAGAGGGTCGTAGCAAGGAAGAAATTCAGCAGTCCTTCCGAGGTATATGGAACAAAATTGATAAACCTTCTCTTCATTTCCTTTTTCTTAACTTCAAGTTTTAACAATAAAAATGGACACAAATGTCAGGACTAATTCCGCCTCCCCCCCCCCATTAATTGTTACAATTTTTGAGTCGTTTAAAAATTCAAATTACCATTGCAATTTGGGAGACCAGGCTCCTGCAGCCCTTTTATTTGAAAAAAGAAATTTCTCACGCACCAGCAGAAAAAAAAATTCGCTTGCATTGTCACTAGTGTGCACTATAGTAGTTTCAGTAGATTACACAAACACTTTTTTGCTGATTTATTCAATTAAATGTGAACACTGCTTCAAGAACGATCATATTACATAGCTTGTGTGTTATATAATCGACAAAAACTGAAAACTACTATTATTTTTTTCTGGTATATTCAGCAAAAAGAGTTGCGTTTTATTCCCCAGTAGGTGAAGGGCATTACCTATGCCTAATTAGTGATTTTTCTGCAAATATAGCTGGGCTGCTATGAATCCTGCAGATTTCTGTGCATCAAAATTCTCATACAATTTCTATTTCCTAATTAGATCACTTAAATTTGAAAGTATTGTTTCTTTAGCTAAACTGAATTTCCAATTATATGTAAGTAAGTAGTCTGTATAATCATTATATGTGTAAGTTGAGAATTCCGTTTTAGCATACGTATATACCCTTTGATTCAACCGGATTGACGGCTGAAAGGCAGGGCTTCGTAATCTAATTAAGATTAGAGGGTGATCAGAGAACACATTCGCAAGAGAGACGCAGATTGCGTTGCGGGCGCGAGCGATCGCCTTCCAGCCGCCAATCTCGTTGAATCAAAGGGTATGTGTCATGCTACTCCACTAATTATTGGTTTATCGGTGACAGGCGAGAATTTCCCTTGTAGTAGGATCGCTTTACTTTGGTTTTGATATTTACTACTTTCTAAAGGGCTAGGCATACTTTAAGCGATTAGTCGCGCCGCGATTTGGCAATATTCTAACTGTCCATAAACCATTGTATGCACATTTATGTACAGAAGATATGGTATTTTATCAATCCACTTTAGTTATACACATTATGCATGTGCAGTTTACTAAGAATGGGTCTGAGGACTTCTGACGAGTTGCCAAATCGCGTAAAGTAGGCCCGACGCTTATAATTTTCCGTTAAATGGGGCTGCAACCGTTTCACCTTATATATCTTGATGAAAAACTGTTGTACAAGGAAATCTAAGACTTCCTAGACCGCTTTCTTTATCGACAGAAAAAAAACGAGACGAGCCTAGTTTTTGCTACAACAATCTTCCGGTCTTGGAGTGTATTGGCTCAGAGACCGGAAGGTGTTTTATCGATGATTCATTGCCGGTAGCTGTCAACAGAAAAGGTGTTTATATACATGTGGACAGATTTTTCTTCGCTTTTGTGCTGTAAAGTAATCGCAGCATAGCAAACAGGATGTACTGTGTTGTAGCTTAAGCTAGTTAGTGATGGGTGAGAAGAATCAACAGAAGATGTGTCAAGATCCCGTTGGGCAGTAAAAACAAAGTGAGAAACATTACCAGCAGAGAAACCAAAATCGCTATAGTTGGCAAACGCGGATTAAAACTTTGGTTACAAACTATTCGATTATCCTCAAAGTAAACCATGTATCTAAATAAAACACACTGTTTTTGTTCTCCTAACAGGCTTGGGTACCATTCGATAGAGCGAAGCAAGCTCTAAAAAATGGAAAATCAGCAAGAACCTAAATCGTAATCCAGTTAAAGTTTGGAGCCAAAATCGAAAAGAATTTTGACTTGGAAATTAGATTCTGCGAAATGAAGTTCTACGGGTTTCCAGTTTGGTTATTATACAGCAGACACATACATAGTAGCACTCAAATATGCCTTTACTGGATCTTTTTTGCGCATAGCCAGCGAGAAAAAAAGCTCTAATCCCACATATGCCACTGTATACTACAAGCCTAAGTAAGTATGACCTTAAAATTCTCATTCTCTATGCCTGGTAATCGAGAAATACATGTTTAACATAAAAACCCGAAAAAAGTGCATTTTGACATTTTCAGGCCATATAATTTTCTCGAATTTGAGTCTCGAAAGAAATCCAGCACACACATTTTTGGATTCTATTAGGTCGGTGCGAAAGTAATGGCCGATTTTCCAAACCTTTTTTCAGGGCAAATTTTTTTTATCAATACTTCTTCTTTACAATGGATTTAGTATACCATCGCGAAGCTGTTTCCATGCTCTATCTAACGGTGCTTGAACGTGCTCTCATCCTCATCTGTTATAAAGTTATTGAGCTTCAAATAACCGCATCCAAATTCAGAATTTCATTGCTTTCACTTTTCCGGCCAGAATTCCAGCGCGTATCAATGGGATTTCTTCGAAAATTTAGCTATTTTATGTAAAGAAATTGTCTACATTATGCATACTTGACTGTGTTCTTTGAGGCTATCCCGACTGAGATATCGGCGCCTAAACATGGGTAGCTGTTGCGGTCATTTTATGACCCATAATTTTCTTCTGAAGAAGTCAATCGCCGGAGCTTTGCTCAATTCTGTAAGCGTAGGGCTAGGGCATCCTGTTAGCAGTTTTTGTAAAAACATCCAGCTGTTCAGTACCTAGAAAATCAAAAAATTCTAGATTCGGGACTTTGAGGCACACTGAAAAAATGTTCAAAAAAGTGAGAAATTTCAAATTTCAATTTTTTTTCTTTTTCGCAAACTTTTCTGTCCGAATTCTTTTTATTGCGTTTTGTACTGCTTGCGGCTACAAGATAGGCTACTTAACATTTATACTAACAAACTTTGAAGGAAGATATGAATTGTCAAAGACAAGGTTCTAGTAGAAGAACCTTTTTTATTTTTCAATCCATATTTTTCTGCCCGTTTGTGATATGAGTATAAGTAAATGTGCGCTGCATTGCAGAAGGTTTGCTGCTTCTGATAGTTTTTACCGCATTCGGAAATGTGAATTTTTGTAAAAGTTATAGCACGTCAAAGTGAGAATTCGCAAATCGGCCATTACTTTTGCACCAAGCTAATATTATGGGTATACTGTATATCTACAAAGTTAGAGTTCCGTGGGGATTTTCTGGAAAGAGTTCTGATGTTTAGGGTGGTTGAAAAGTTTGATTTTTTGGCTCGAAATTTCACATAAATTATGACTTGAGTAAATTTGGTGGCAATTGCGTAGAGCTTGTTCTACTCTGAAGATACCCCATGCTGCTAAGAAAGTTTGATTTATTTAAAAATAAAATTTTAGGACAACCCAGTAAATTATTTAGATAAATTATATGTTGCACAATCCCACCATGTGCGCATGAAATCTACTGTAAGATGATGAATACGAGCTGAGGCTGTTTGAAATACGAGTTTATTCGTATTCAATAAGAATGGTGCTGTGTTCCTTTTGCAGTCATCTTGTTTAGAAGTAAGGGTCTAAAGATAGATTGGTATGATAATTACGTTGAAGCATATAAAGATGCTGAAAGTTTGTTGACAGAGTTTCTTCAACTGATTACTCATAGGATAATCTGGGATAATAGGATGATTCAACTGCTTCTTTGTAACCTTTAAACAGGTTTGGCGGTCGAAAGGCGGGGCTTT